TAGCTTCTAGGTGCACATAACAAATTGATTCAAGAGTTCCTAGAGCAGGTCATCTAGTGGGTTCTTATCATTTGGTTTCAGAGCTTTGGTTCTAGAAATAGGCTACTTATCCTTTTCTTATCCTTTGTTTTGTGTTTTTCTTTGATCTTTGTGCGTTTCTTGTGTTGTCCTTGCATAGTTTTCTTTGAATTCTTCCATTCGACTTCCTTGTGTTTTTGAATAGAGTCAATTCTGTTTTGTGTGTTTAGTTTGGAAAAAAAAAAAAGAGAGAGACAGAAAAGAACATCCAATTAGAAAAAAAAAAGGAGGAGGAGATTGCAGATTTGATTCTTTAATCATTTTCCCAGCATGAATGGGATTTCTTGAATTACAAGATCATATTTCCTTTTTTTGGGTTTGACTAGTTGTCTACTTCAACAGCCAGCTGTATAATCCTTTTTGAACTGGGATTTCTTTTCCTTAAGCAGTTGTCTTACTATATTAATTAGTACTAATCCTTATCAAATAAGGATTCTTGTGTCTAAATTAATTTAATTTCGTACTCTATATTCTAGTGATTTCTTTTGCATGTCTTTTTCTTCCTCTTGAAGTTTTCTTATTTTTTTTGGCTCCTATAATTGGTTTTTCCTTCCTTATTTCTACTGTTTGCCTCAACTAAGTTTTTAAAGTTCTGATTTTGAGATTTGCCACCATCTAACCAATTACTCCTTGAGCTTTATTGATCTTGATTCTGTTAAGAACATTAAGGGGGCTAGCTTGAGTGAAAAAAAAAGGCAAAGAGAGGTGAGATCATCATCGAGAATAGTTAAATAGTGATAACAATCTGATTTGAGTGCAAACACGTGAGGGAGTGTGTGAGGAACAAAAAAAAAAAAAAGAGGCAAAGAGAGGTGAGGAACAAAATTTCTTTCCAACGAGTTTTTGTAGGTTATAAACATGAGTATTGATGGAGAACAACAAGAGATTGACATGAAGTTATTCATAAGGGCTATTAATGAACAATTTAGAAAGTTGAATGCGAGGTTGGATGATTTGCAATCCCCATCTATTTCTATGTCCACTAGAAGATGTGTGTTTGAGGAAGAAGAGGAAAATGATTCGGATTTGGAGGAATCAAGTTCTAGACGAGGCAAGAAGGCAATTTACAAAAGAGATAGCAATTTGGGCAACATAAAGATGAAGATTCCGACCTTTCAAGGAAAGAATGATCCTGAACTATACTTGGAGTGGGAAAGAAAGGTTGAGCACGTATTTGATTGCCATGATTA